ACTTGAAGAAGGGAAAAGCAGGTGAATGCAAGGAGAGAAAATGAATATAATGAGAAGATATAGATATATATATAATATCTACCTTATTTGCTTATACTGTATTTTAAATAAAAGGGTATCTTAAATCCTAGGAAATTGTACAGAAAAGGCCTATTAATATTCTTGGCCCAAGGCTGCTATCTTTAGAAACGCCTAATTATAGATTGGCCCTTGACTAGAGTCTAGGAACTTGAATGGCAAATAATTCCCTACACTTACATAAAATGTTCCCTAAATTATAATGGTGGCTCCCTATGCCTAAACTGTTTGTACAAATAATATGGTTTAAGGTGAACACCTGCTTTCCCTCTGGGAGTCAAATATTGGTATGTGCTATAGGCAGAGAATGCATATATGACCAGCCCCAGTAAAAACCTTGGTATTGAGGTTCTAATGAACTTCCCTGATAGACATTTCATGTGTGTTGTCACAGTTCATTGTTGGAGGAATTAAGCATGTTCCATGTGACTCCACTGGGAGAGGACTCAGAAGCTTGTGCCTGATTCCCTCTGGGCATTACCCCATGTGCCTTTTCCCTTTGCTGGTTTTATTTTGCATCCCTTTGTTGTAATAAATCATAGTTGTGATAAGTATTCTGAGTTCTGTGAGTACTACCAGTGTTGCTCAAATTTAAAAACATATTTTTGAAATCCTTTTTTTGTCAAAAATAATGAGTAGAATATTTCATAGGCTACAGAAAAATGTGTATTTTGATAGAATAACGTCCTCATGGTATTAGTCAAGACCAGATGGACTTTCTCCATGAGAGCAGGGACATAGCCCTAGCAGCTTCTGGCATGCATCTTTATAGCCTAGCAATATGAGGGAAAAGTGTTTACCCTGCCAAAACCACTGAGAAAAATCTTGGGGAAAGATTCTGATTGGCTTGATGAGGTTCATACGCCCATCCCTGGATCAGTCTTGCTGACCAGGGCAATGGGCAGATACTAATTTATCAGCTTAGGGTGCAGCCAGTAACCAGAAGAAAGGTATGTGGCAGCACAGAGATGGCCACTGAGGCAATGACTGTGAAGTAGGAAACCACCTCAATTGTGAGTACTGCACCCATCTTTTGGCCTTTTAGGTTCAACTGGCAAGTCAATTTTTCATTTGCATTCAAGGGAGTGCTCAGGAATTGAAAAACGTAATATTTTCTATGATATATAAAAAGCAATTGATAATTTCCACATGGAATCACTGCAGCCTCAACATCTGGGCAGATTTTCAGGCATCTTTGGACCTGCATGGTACCCTGGTCTGTGCCAGGATGTGAATCTTTTTTATCTTGTCAGGCACAGGAGCTCCCCAAAAGTAGGGCCCAGTGCCCCTCCTCCTCTGCTTTCCTCACTGTAGGGCCAAGCACAGGGCCTGGTCAAATGAGGACTCACATTATAATTGAAGCATGACCACATAGGTGAATACTGCTCTATAAATGGACTTGAGAGAACACAGTTGGAATGAAAGGTCTTTGCTGAGCTCTTGCCTTTGCCTGCATGGCTAATTCCCTTGATGGTCATGCGTCAGGTTCCTTGTTGCTAATATCTCAGCTGCAATGTTACCTCCTCGGGTCATCTCTTACTCTACAATCCAAAGTAGCCACCCAAACACTCCTCAACCCTTACTCTGTTGTAATCCTCTGAAAAGCACTTACTACCATGTGAATCTGTCCTTTATTTATACTCTATTATCTGTCTCCCACCAACAAGAATAAAGGTTCCATAGGAACAGGAACATTGTCAGCTTCCTCACTGTAGTATCCTTTGCACGTACTAGTTGATCAATAAATATTTGTTGAATTAAATGCAAGCAGAAATGAAAACAACCTCTCCTTGGATATAAGAAGGAAGGGGAAGGTCCTTGTGAGTCATGAGAACATCTAGGAATCCATGGGACTTTCATGGGGAACAGAAATCATAGATTAACTTCTTAAAATTGCTTTTATTAAAATGGAATATTTCAAAACATTATATGTGCATAAACAGAAAAGAAGCCAAACTCTGTAAAATAACTTAAAGATGTTTATTTTGAGCCAAATTTGAAGACCATGGCCTGGAGCCACGCCCAAGAAGCCTTGAACAAGTGGACTCACAGTTTGGTTTTATACATTTCAGGGAGGCAGGAATTACACATAAAGTTGTAAATCAATACATGGAAGGAGTACATTGGTTTGGCTCAAAAAGGTAGGACATCTCAAAATGGGAGTGGTGAGCTTACAAGTTATAGGTGGGTTCAAAGACACCTTAATTTGTAATTGGTTAAAGAAATGAAGCTTTGTCCAAAGGCTTGGACTGTTTTAAGGAAGTATGTTAATCAGAGACAAGCCACTGGACATATACCCAGACTCAAGTGATTTCTTATGTGAATTGAGGACTTGCAGGTTTGTCTTGCATAGCCTTGGGCCTGCTAATGAGTTACAAAGGATGTCTCCAAGAAGGGGAGGTCATGATGAGGCCTGTCGACCTCCCTTCTTATGGCTAGCAACTCAGTTTTAGGGTATCCCCTTGGCCAAGAGAGGGTCCATTCAGTCAGCTGTGGGGGAAGCTTAAGATTTTATTTAATTCAAATGTGTGAGGTGGAGTAACAATAAAATGACGATATTATGTACCCAGCTTAAGAAATATACTCAGATCATCTTCAGTAATGGAGGTTTATTGCAAAGGATCAAGGGCCTAAGAAATAGCCCTGAACTTCATTTCCTTGCTTAGCCATATGGTAAGTAGGAGTCCCCAGAGGTAAAACTGGGATGTCAACAGACCTCAGGAGGAAGTGGAAAAATAATGTAACATTTTGTGGAATACAAACTGACCTCAAATTATCTGCTCTTTGTTTTAGCTGCCATATCCTCATCCCAGGACTGTGATAATGACAGAAGTCACCACTGTTACAACTCCTAAGAGGCAGGCTTGGAGACCCAAGAGAACAGGCTCAGACCCTGTGTGAACTGTTGGGAGATCCATTTGACCCCGAAGGTTGGAGACAGGCTCAGACAGGCTGGGTGAATACTCAGCTCTTAATGCAGGAGGTCCTCTGAGAACATAAAGTGGTTAATATAGTCTGATCAGGGTTACTGTTTGGTATTTGTTTTTTGTGGCTTTTGAAAGCAGCGGCCTTGCAAAATAACAGGAAAACATTTAATCCTACAGTTTTCTGTTTTTAAATCTTTCTCAACCATATTGATTCCTGGATCCTTCAAGAGGATTGGCAGACGCTGGTGCTTCAGGCTTTCTCTGAAGCAAACAGCAAATTTGGTAGCTGAGTGCAACTTCTCCAGGGTTTTGCCCCAGGGAGGGGCCCTCTGGAGTGAAGGATGGACTGTGGCTAAAGCAGCCTCAGCTATTATTCTCAGGGGCTTCTGATTTGCCCTGATTCAATCCTCTGCCTGCAGACTAAAACATCCTTTCAAAAGACAAAGGGTGGAGGAGATTGTCTTCCAAAAGATTACCTATCTCCAGGCCTCATCTCTGCTTTAGGGGAGGCTCAAATTGAAACATTCATTAGCCCTTGCTCACATTCCAGCTGGAGCTAGTCTGATGGCCCCACTCAAGTGTCTGGTCTAGGTAAACAAGTAGCCTAGTAAAGGGAGACAGCTGCCATCCCACTCTAGCTGCTCCAGTTGATAGTTACCAGCACTGCTGGAAATCCAGGCTGTAATGGGAAATCTTTTTTTTTTTTGAGACAGAGTCTCACTCTGTCCTCTGGGCTAGAGTACAATGGCATCATCAGAGGTCACTGCAACATCAGTCTCCTGGGCTCAAGTGATACTCCTGCCTCAGCCTCCCGCCCTGCAAAATTTTTGTTTTTTTTGTAGAGACGAGGTCTCATTCTTGCTCAATCTTGTCTCGAACTCCTGATCTCAAGTGAGCCTCCCACTTTGGGAGAATAAAGGTTTCATGGGAACAGGGACATTGTCAGCTTCCTCACTGAAGTATCCTCTGCACATACTAGTTGATCAATAAATATTTGTTGAATTAAATGCAAACAGAAATGAAAACACTCCTAGCCTCCTAGGGTGCTAGGATTACAGGTATGAGCCACCATGTCTGGCCAAAATCCTCTTATTTTTAAAGGTTAGCAACTAATTAAAAACTATTGAACAGCCCCAATCAACACTCTGCTGACCAGATCAGGCCATGAGCAGCCCACTCTTGCCTGCTGGTATAGAGTATGGGCACCAACCCCAATGACAGCGGAAGAGGAAGACTACAAATGGGCTAAGGCCATAAGGATGGCATATTGGGTGAAGGAGCAAGGGAATAGGTTCTTTCTCATATTTGAGAAGACCTGGAAAGGGCCACAGCCCTTAGACAACACATCAGAGCTGAAAGGATGGCGTTGCTAATAAACTATCTAATGGGGAAAAAAGAACAATCACAGCACACAACTGCCCTTCATTTGATTAACCACCTGTGGCTTAACTCATTGTCTCTAAGAGTCTGTTTTTACAGCACTTGAAAAGAACTGAGCAAATAGGAGTAACCTTCCTCTCCCTGCATCCACCAAAACACATTCCAAAGAGATTAATAAAGACAGCCTAGCACAAAAGCAAAACAAACACAGTTGCCTTCTGTTTTCATTTTGCAGCAATAACTTATTTATTTTTACTCTTTATCACCCCCAATAAAAAGCCTAAACCCTTTACCCTCACCACAGACACTTCTTTCATGCCATGCCCTTTTTTCCCCTGGAAAGCAAAATAAACTTTTTCTTTAAAACCTGTCTTAATCTTTGAGTTGAGAATTCTTTCTCAGCCCATGTTAGGAGTTCCCACCCTAACAAGATATAACATACATTAACTGTTTACCATCTCTGCCCAGCTGGCAACCCCATTATCTCAATCTCACAATCTCAGGAGGCAAACACAATTTTCATTATCCCCATGTTAGAGGTGAGGAAATGGAGCTCACAGATGTTAAGGTATAGAGCTGGGATTTAAAATGAATTCTGTCTTCACTATTTACATGTTATCATCACCCTGGGGTGCAAGCCCTGACTCCAACAAAAGGACCAAGGATCTGGGCTTCTAATTTTGGGTTAGCTTACAAGAATCTCTTTGCCTCATCTTACAGTTAAGTCTCAAAGAGTGAAAGTTTTTTACAGAACCCAGCTAATAAATGCAGAAAGAATGATAAAATTAGAAAACCACCATTAGGCAACCCCTAATGAATTACAAGATCAAAGCTGGGTAGATCATAATTTAAGTGAAAGCCTATTGGGAACTTGAAAATAAATCAGGTCACTTCCGAATGTGATGCAAAAGCAAGCATTCTTGTTAAAAAATATTAGAATCTGTGTTTGAATGAGCATCTAAATCTATCAGTTTATAGGAAAAGTAGGTGATAGAAGAACATACTTAACATTACAGGGATACAACTGGATGAATCCAAAATCATGAGAAATTCTAGAACAAATGACCTATCTTTCAACAAATAAAGAAAAAAGAGGGAGGTCTATTAAGTATTTTTTTAAGTGACTTAAAGGGGTATTAGCAAAATATAACATGTGAATCTTGTTTGGATCCTGATTCACACAAACAGACATTTTGTGATAATGGCAGAAAATTGAACATCTATTATAAGATGATATTAGATAATAATTAAGAATCACTATTAGTTTTTTTGGCAATGATAATGGTATCATTGTTACATACCTTAAAGTTAAGTCCTTACAGTTTTTCTGGAAAGCCTAATGGATCATATATTACATGAAAACTTCTATAGCTCCTTATCAGTTTTTTGTAGAAAAGTAAGCTTTATTTCAAAGCAATCTGAAAAGAGCAGTTGGGGGACCACATTTATAAACTGGTAGGAGAGAGCACACAGTTACATGTCCATTTATCAAGGTCTCATTCAGGAGTCTCATTAATTCCTGCCCAATGCCTACTTAGTTTCCTCTTCGGGTAGAAACTGAAAGTGGGCTTGAAGATGCTAGTGATGTCTGTTATCCAGATATGTTCCAAGTTCAGGAAAAAGGACACCTGGGATCAAATTCTTGAGGGATCTACTTAATTATTAAAATAAATATTTACATTGAGAATACAGTGAGTAACTGTCTTCACATTTTTAAAAGAGCCACAGAAATTTCATTCATGATTCAAACAGATGAGTTGGTAAAGACCCCGTCTGTCTCCATTTCCTAGGAAAAGGATTATATTCAATTACTCTTCACAACAGCCAACTGGAAGATCATTCCATTGCTTTTGAAATACTGGTTGGGCTGGCATCTGCAATGGTAGCCAAATAAATGAGATTTCTATGTAACACATGTTGGTACCTACGGGTAAAAAGCAGGCAAAAATTAAAGGCTTGTTTTTACTGATCATAAACAAACACTGAAAAACAATGTACCTACTCTAGTGGAATGACTCATCCACTGATTGGATGATCCAGTATTATCAACTTTCTTGCTTAACATATTCAAGGAAAATATATCCAGAATCTCACCACTCTCACAGGTCACTTCTATAGTTACCTCTCTAGGACAAGCTACCATAATTTCTTGATTGGACTATTGCAATAATCTCCTAACTAGGCTCCCTGATCTACCTTTGCACACCTACTTTATTCTCCATACAGTAGCCTAAGTGATCACTGTACAATTTAAGTCAAGATCATGTCACATCTCTGTTTAAAACCTTCCAAAGGCTCCCATCTCAAAGTAAAGCTGAGCCCTTCTCATGCCCTATAAGGGGCCTGCAGTTACCCCTCTGATCTCATCCCCTACAGCTTTCCCTTTGTTCACTGGGTTCTGGCTACAGTGGCCTCCTTGCTGTGATTTCATGATGTCCAGCATACTCCTACCAGGTGGCCTTTCTACCTGATGCTCTCTGTCTTACCTGTCTCACTATGCCTAACAGCTGCATAGCTGGCTCCCTGACCTTAGCTCTCTACTCAAATGCTGCCTTATTAGAGATATCCTGTATAAAATAGCACCCTCCCCTGACTTATTCTGCTTTATTCTTATTCAAAGCACTTATTATATGCCTAATTATATATTTTTTCCTCTAGATTACAGAATGTCAGCTCCATGAGTGTAGAACTGGTGTCTGTTTTGCTACTGATTCCCTAGTACCTGAGACAGTGCCTGGTACTAGTAATACAGGTGTCCCTTGGTATCTGCAGGGGATTGGTTCCAGGATACCCTAGCCCCCACAGAAATAACAAATCCAAGGAGGTGCAAGTCCCTTATATAAAATATTATAGTATTTGCATATAACCTATGTATATCCTCTACATCTTCCCATAAACTTTAAATTGTCTCTAGATTACTTATAATACCTAATACAATGTAAATGCTATGTAAATAGTTATTATACGGTACTGTGTTTCACTTGTATTACCTTTTACTGTCATACTGTTACTTTTTATTGGTTTTTCCCCCAAAATATATTTTATTTGTGGTTGATTAAATCCATAGATGCAGAACCTGCAGAAACAGAGGGCCAACTGTACTTATAAAATATCTTTTGAACAAACTTTAAAGAAGGGACAAGATATTTCCATGATCAATGTGAGCTTACTACAGCAGCGATTCTCAGTCAGGGGATGGAGCTCCCCAACCATGAAGAAAATCAGACGAGGGGCCAGGAAGCATGGCAGGTACATTGTAAAAAAGCCCAGTAGGAGATTTTGATAACTTTCTTACCTCTGGGTTGAGAATCATTACATCAGACTGAACGTTTTGCCACCATTTTCCATATAGAAAAATGAGAATGTTTACTATAAAAGAAACAAAACAAAACAAAAACTAAAAAAGCAAATTACCAAATGCCAGAGTCAAATGTAAAGACTTAAACCAAAATGGGATAGGTGCGGTGGCTCACGCCTGTAATCCTAGCACTCTGGGAGGCCAAGGTGGGAGAATCACTTGAGATCAGGAAATCCAGACCAGCCTGAGCAAAAGCAAGATCCCATCTCTACTAAAAATAAAGAAATTAGCCGGACAACCAAAAATATATAGAAAAAATTAGCCAGGCATGGTGGCACATGCCTGTAGTCCTAGCTACTCTGGAGGCTGAGGCAGAAGGATCGCTTTAGCCCAGGAGTTTGAGGTTGCTGTGACCTAGGCTGACGCCATGGCACTCTAGCCTAGGCAACAGAATGAGTCTCAAAAAGAAAAAAAAAGAAAAGAAAAAGAAAAAATACTTATACCAAAATGAGTATCTCTACTATTCCATTCAGATATTCAGTGAGGGATTGTAGGTGATTTTTCTAGGGCGTAGTGGTTCTTACACATTTCTTCAGTAACAATGAAATATTTTTCTATAAGAAATGGGGCATAATTCCTGGAATAGATTTATAAAAGAGACTCAGACTCTATTTTTTTGTATATGATTAGAGAGCACATTAAATTATGCAGAATTTACCTTTGGGTGACCTTGGAAATCCTTTGTTATCTTTGTGTGTGTCACTCACAGACTGACAGCAAGTTAGAAATGGGAGGAAGCTTAGCAGTAAAATGGTCTTGACCCCCTCACTTAACAAAGGATAAGGTAGGGACCCACGATGAGAAAAGGGCCATACCTCTCATCTCCTGAGCAGTTTTCTGTGTGTTCCCTTCCCTATCCCTGTTGTTATCAGCTAGCATGGCTCCACATGAAGGAGGTTTTGCAATGAGAATAATTCAAGTTTTGAAGAGGGAGACACATCTGACTCCAGGCTACACAATGTACTGGCTGTATGATCTTGAGCAAGAAAGTAACCTCTTTGAGCCCCGCTGCCCTCAACTGTAAAGTAAGTCTCAAATGCAGTCCATCACCCAAGATTCCTAGTTCAGGATAGCTGCTGCATCATCCACTGGCTTCCCCTCCGCTCAAGGGTCAGGGGCGAAACGGGGGCACTTACTGGACGCACTCGTGTGCCCGGCCCTTGTTCTGATACTCCACGATGCAGCGGATCAGCTGGTCATTCTCCTCCAGGAGCTGAAAGATCAGAGAAAGGGTCAGTGCACTGAGGCATCAGGACGGCGGGGAGGGCCGCACCCCCCACGCCGGACTGTCCTGCCCCAGCGCCTTTGCTGACTTCATCCCCATCTCACTCCACACCCGTCGGTCAACTCTCTTCGCAGACTACAAGTCCCAGCTGGGATGCGGCTCACCCGAGGAAGCTTCCCGCAACCCCGGGCCCCTCAAGGTCTCTGCCCGCGTTGACGCTCACCCGTTGGATAGTCTCTTGATTGACTTCCGCCTTGCCCCTCAGCCAGTCCGGTACGAAGGCCACAGACATCCCGGGGCGCCCAGTCGAAAACCTGCTTCGGAAAGACCGCACCTCCGCCTGCATAGATCAGAGCCGACCACGGGATCTAGACGCCACACAGCCACAACAGACTCCCACAATACAAGGGCCCTACGCTCTGTACGTTGATTGGATGGGGAAACGGAGAGACGTCACTTGTGATTGGACGCGCTAGAATGGCGCTCAGCGTCCTCCTCGGGCCCCGCCCCTAGAACGCCGGCATTTGCGTACCCTTTGCGCTTGCTCAGTCTGGAAAGCGAATCTTACGGAGGCGGCCGGGTCTACTGCTGACGTAAGGCAGCATCATCTCCTCGAATTTAGGCTGTGTGTGCTAAATCTGACTATATGCAGGGCAAGCTTGCCAGAGCCAAATAGAAATCATGCCTGGCGGCGGCGCGGTGGCTCAGCCTGTAATCCTAGCACTCTGGAGGCCGAGGCGGGTGGATTGCTCGAAGTCAAGATTCGAAACCAGCCTGAGCAAGAAGTGAGACCCCCTCTCTACTATAAATAGAAAGAAATTAATTGCCAACAATATATATATAGAAAAAATTATCCGGGCATGGTGGCGCATGCCTGTAGTCCCAGCTACTCGGGAGGCTGAGGCAGCAGGATTGCGTGAGCCCAGGAGTTTGAGGTTGCTGTGAGCTAGGCTGACGCCATGGCACTCACTCTAGCCTGGGCAACAAAGCGAGACTCTGTCTCAAAAAAAAAAAAAAAAAAAAAGAAAGAAAGAAAAAAGAAAGAAAAGCCTGGAACCCAGATATATGGCTTCAAGTCCACTGCCCTTTTCACATCATTCTATGAACCCTGGACATTGCCTCCTGCAGGGCTAGGAAAACACTGCTATTTGCTTTGCTCTTTGCTGAGGCAGAAACTTGTGTATGTGCCTAGATTTCCTTTAGCAATAATAGTGCTTACTAGGTTTACAATCCTAAAAAGCACGAGTATTTTCTCCATTTTACAGATGAGAAAACAGGTTAAGTAACTTGCCCAAGGTCCCAGAGCTACCAAGAGCAAAGCCAGTATCTGAACACAGGCATTCTAGCTTTAGAACCTTCAGTCTTAACCACTACCCCATACTGCCTATGCATCGTACTGCAAAGGTGGTTTTTTACAAGATGCAAGGAGGAAGCTGGGCATATCCTCCTGGGTCACATAGTTACTCCTGGCAACCACTAAAACTCTTAAGTGGTTGTAGTCTTCTAGCCCATCTGTGGTGGATGTGGTAATAAAGTTGTTTTTCCCTAAAGCACAGAGTGAGCAGCAGCCACTTAATTTAGGAGGGAGATTTGGGGAGCCTGTACTCCTCAAAAGGGGAGCTTCCTTTTCCCCAGTGGTGGCCCTGATCCAGAGCAGGCATGTTTGCTTTGCTGGGCTTTCCCTCCACAATCCCTTTATTCAAGCCTGTGAAGAGGCACTTTTCATTCCATTGCACAGAAGGGTAAAGCTGCTGAGAGGAATGGGATAATATGCCTAAGTTGGGGCAGGTCTTGGGGTTTCCTGGTTCCCAAGTCTGTTCTGTTAACCTCACATCAGGCTCCCTCCCCAGGAAAATTCCATAGAAAACAGAGTGGGGACAGAAGGAAACATCAGGAGCAGGATGCAGGTCTTGCTTAGTCTTACCTAGCACTATTCCTGTTTAGACAAGTGAGGAAGGGCAATAACATGAGATGGTGTTAAGGTGGGACAGGTTCGGGGGACCAACCTGGTCCAGCATACAGGGAAAGCCCTCCAGGAGAAGAGATGTCTCTATATAAAGAACAGCGGAGGTTAAGTAGGTGACAGGTGTCCAGATTCTGGACTCACTCCTAGGAGCAATGGGAGCCATGGATGACTTTAGGCAGAAGAGTGATGAAGTCAGAGATACATTTTAGAGTTTTCCTGGCTGTAATATGGTGAAAGGGAAGGCAGCAAGATGAGAAACAAAAAGAACAGCAAGAAGGCTGCAATAGGCATGTGGGCCAGAGATAGTGGGAGCAGTCAGTGAAAAAAGAAGTGTATGTATTTGAAAGACATTAGAAGTAGACTTGACAAGCCTTAGCAATTGAATGGGGAAGGAATGAAAAGGGGAAATTAGGGATGACTCCTGGGATTCTGGCTTGGGCAACTGAGAGACTGGAGTTTCCACTTATGGAGGTAGGGAACAGTGCGGGAGAAGCTGGACTTGACCTGTCAGTCGTGGAAATGCACGGTTTGAGGTGATGTCAAATACAGATATTGAAATTCATGGATGGCTGTCTGGGTCTGAAACTCAGGGACAAGGGATGGGCTAGAGCTACCACTTTGAGAAACATCACTTGTGGTAACTTATGGGAACCATGTAGTGGATAAGTCTGCCTAAGGAGAGTGTGATGGTTCCTCTCATGGCAGAGGAAAAGAAGCTGCAAAGGAAACTGAGGGAGAAAAGAGTCTAGAGAGATAGGAAGAGGAAAACCAGGAGAGTGGAGGTCATAGAATTTTTTTAAGTGACTGAGAAAGAGAGAACAGCACTGACAAATGCTGTTGAAAGGTCAAGAAAGATAAAGACTAGGTCTTTGATGTCCTTGATGAGGGCAGTTTCAGTGATGTGGTGAGGCAGAAATCAGAATTGTAGGGGACTGAGAAATGATGGGAAATATGAAGCAATGGAGTGTTCAAACACAGACCACTTTTCCCACAGGTCTGTTTGTAAAGGGGAAAAGGGAGGCCGGGCGCGGTGGCTCATGCCTGTAATCCTAGCACTCTGGGAGGCTGAAGCAGGCGGATAGCTCAAGGTCAGGAGTTAGAAACCAGCCTGAGCAAGAGTGAGACCCCTGTCTCTATTAAAAATAGAAAGAAAATTAATTGGCCAACTAAAAATTAGCCGGGCATGGTGGCACATGCCTGTAGTCCCAGCTACTTGGGAGGCTGACGCAGCAGGATTGCTTGAGCCCAGGAGTTTGAGGTTGCTGTGAGCTAGGCTGACACTACGGCACTCCAGCCCAAGCAACAGAGTGAGACTCTGTCTCAAAAAGAAGGTGGGGGGTGGGTGGGGAGGGGTGGGGGGGTAGGGAGGGAAAAAAGGTGATAGCTGGAGGGAGAGGAAGGAGAGGAGTTGTCAGGAGCTGAGGGCATCACTTTGATGGTTGCTCTTTCTTCAGTGAAGGAGGCACCTGGGAGAGCAAGGGGGGTGAAGAGTGGGAAATCTGGGGAGCACACAGGAGATGTGGAAGTTGACTTGGGGGAGAAATGAAGAGAGCTGACTTGGCAAACAGGACTATTGAACAGTGTTGAGGACCTAGTTGAGGTTGGCGTGTACACAGCACTGATCTGTGTGGTTGTGAGATTTTATCCAGCACCATTTACATCCCAGGAGCAGATTCAGAGAAGACAGAAGGTTGGATTCTTCCGGGATTGGAGTGCTGCCAGGCACATGACAGAAGGATAACTGTGCACGGGACGTAAGCATATTGGGAAGAATGTGATGGACCCTGGACTCTCAGCTGATGGGGAAGGAAGTGAAGACTGGAAGGAGGTGACAAATAGAAGAAAGTATAGGGACAACTGAACTAGAAGTTTCCACAGGCCAGAGAACAGTGCAAGGACTTCAGAGAAGAGTGGAAGGACAGGTGAGAGAACAGGTCTGTGTTTATAACCTCGGAGGTGGAGCTCTTCTGTGGCCCAGGGTGTTCGCCTGGGAGTGGAGGGCTGAAAATGCTTGGAAGAGAAGGAATCTGGAATTAACTGTGACACTGGAGCCAAAATGACCAATGATTGGAGATCAGAGCTAGGGCTTCAGGTTCTACATCTCATCCATTGTCCCATCCACTGTGATGCCTGAGCCACACCAACTGCACCAGTCAGAGGGTGTAAGGTCCTATTGTAAAGCACTTACATCACAAGTTTTGAGAGCCTAAGACTCCACATTTGAAGAGGGAATCCTAACCTCCCTAGCACATACACTACAGGGTTTTCAATCTTCCTTACCAACGCTGAGTCTTCTGGTTTTTCTTCTTCTTTGTGTCTGTTATGACCTAGCCTTATTATCACCGGTCACACAGGCCAGCCATGACTCAGTGTGGGAGGAGACCATACAAGGGTGTGAATACAGGAAGGTGGTGACTCTATCTTAGACTCTCTTCTGTTTTCACTTTGTAATTTTTCTCTGGTTATGTAAGCCCTACTTCAATTTCTACCCATGTGATGATGACTTTCAAAAGCCTATGTCCAGTCCAGACCTCTACATTGATCTGTAACCTGTATATCCAACTGCTAGGTTGACATCTGTATTAGTCAAAGTTCTCCAGAGAGAATCAGTAGGGTATCTATATAGATATATAGATATTTTTCTATAGATATCTATATAGATATAGATACATGGGAGGGGATTTATTAGGGGAATTGGCTCACATGATTATAGAAGCAGAGAATTCCCATAATAGGCTGTCTGAAAACTGGGAACGAGGGAAGCTGACAGTGTGGTTCAGTCCAAGTCTACTCTGACTTGGACTTGGCCTCATAGACAGGGAAGCTGATGGTGTAACTCTCAGACTGAGAGCAAAGGCCAGAGAACCTGGGGGCTGCTGGTACAAGTCCCAGAGTCCAAAAGCTGGAGAATCTGGAGTTCAGATACCAAGGGCAGGAGAAGGGTATCTTATCTCTAGGGTGAAGGGTGGGAGAGAGGAGAGAAAAGGGGAGAGAGAAAGAGAGAATATTGCCGTTTTCTCTGCCTTTTATTTTTTTTGAGACAGAGTCTCACTCTCTTGCCCAGGCTAGAGTGCCGTGGCGTCAGCCTAGCTCACAGTAACCCTCAAACTCCTGGGCTCAAGCGACCCTCCTGCCTCAGCCTCCCAGATAGCTGGGACTACAGGCTTGTGCCACCATGCCTGGATAATTTTTTCTATATACTTTTAGTTGGCCAATTAATTTCTTTCTATTTTTTTAGTAGAGACGAGGTCTTGCTCTTGCTCAGGCTGGTTTCAAACTCTGACCTTGAGCGATCTTCCCGGCTCGGCCTCCCAGAGTGCTAGGATTACAGATGTGAGCCACTGCGCCCGGCCTTCTCTGCCTTTTTTGTTCTATCTATTGGATGATGCCTGCCCACACTGTGTAAGGATGGATCATCTTACTCAGTCCACCTACTCAGCCAATCTCTTCCAGAGACGCCCTCCCAGACATACCCAGGAATAATGCTTTACCAGCTATCTGAGCACTCCTTAGTCCACTCAAGTTGACACCTAAAAGTGATCATCACAACATCCTAACCAGAAGTCCGAAAGATGCCTCAAATTCAATTTGTCTAAGATGAAACTTGTGATCAATCTTCTCTCCCAAACCTCTCTTCCAATTTTCTTCCTATCTGTGGATTCCTCCACCATCCATCCACCATCCATCCATCCATCCACCCATCCATCCATCCACCCATCCATCCATCCATCCATCCATCCATCCAAGGCTGAACTGTAGCATCTTCCCTAAAGCTTCTTCATCACCCCTTCACATCCAATTCATCACCAAGTCTTGTTGATTTTGCTGCTACATTTCCCTGCAGCCTGCTCAGTTCTGTTCCTCTTTACCCTCATCCTAGTTCATGCTGCAGTGCCATTCTCTCTTGCCCACATGACTGCACTGACTTTCCAGCCAGTTCCTCCATAGCTTCTTTGAGCCTCATCCATTTTGATCTTAACTTTAGCAGACAGAGTGATTTTTACAAAATGAAAATTTGATCAGTTTTCCACTGTCCTAAACTTCCCACTACGGCCCATAAGATCGTATATGGTTTGGCCCCTTCTATTCTCTCTGGTGGTTCTCTGTCCACTCCTTTACTCTCTAAACTCTGGGTTTCTTTTCTTTTTGTGGTAAAATGAACATAAGGTAAAATGTATCATTTTAAAATGTACAGTTCTGTGGCATTTGGTACATTCACATTGTTGTGCAATCATCACTACCATCTATTCCCAGAACCTTTTCGTCTTCACAACTGAAATTCTGTACCCATTGAACATTAACTCTCCATTCCCCACTTTCTAAGTTTCTTTTCATCCCTCAAAAACCCTGTTCCTCTCTGAAGAGCAGTTTGTATTTGTACACGTGTTTAATTGTTCGTTGAGTTCTCTCACCCTGCCCTCCTCTCTTAACAGTTATTAGTGTCAGGAATTACTCACTTTATCCACGATTCCTGGCACACAGCTGGTGCACAGTGCTCACTACCTGTTGAATGAATAAACAGACAAACTCTGCTACCTAATCTCCCTCCAGCTAGCCGTCCATCCGAGGGTGCCTCTGTCCCCAGCCTGGCGCGTGTCGCGCCGGGGTCGGACTTTGGCACCCCATCCAGGCTGGCAGTAGGCCATGCTCTTTGGTTTGCCTATCTCGGGCCTCCAGCCCGGCGGCGTGGACCGGGGAACCCACGCCCGGGGCGTGTCGCTCTGTCATGCGGAGCCTCCCCGCCTCCAGACGTCAGTCCTGTCGCTACCCCGGGAGGACTCGAGCTGAGACCACAAAGCCTCCTCGCACCTCCGGACGTAAGAGTTCCAGGCTTGGACCTCAAACCCACGCGGGGAGAGCAGAGAGGCGGGAAGAAAGTCGCGAGGAACGCGCCCCAGCCACGCCCCCTGGGCTTTTGGGTCTCGGTCCTTTAAGAACCACTCCTTTAGCGACTCGCTCCGGCCGGGCTGCGGAGGCGCGCCAGGATTGGTCGGTTTGGGTGCGGGTGTCGCTAGGCAGCAGCGAATGGGGGCTCAAGGCTTGCGCACGCGCACCACCGCCCACCTGCTCCTGGGCCGTCGGTGACCTGGGCCGTTTCCGCCCGGCGCGCCGAGGTAGCCGGGAAGGCGGCGGGTGGCCCCGCGCTGTGGCGGCGGGCAGGCGGGCGCCGACTCCCGAAGGCCGCCGTCGGGGCAAGGTGAAGGAGGGCTGGCGGGCGGAGGCGGGGGCCGCGGCCCGTTAGCGGAGAGCAGGCGGGGCCGGGCGTGGCGCAGGGCGGGCCCTGACGTAGGGCGGCCCGGGGCCCGCCCCACCCTGCGCTCGGGCCGGCCTGGACCCTCTGGGCTTCCTGGGCTGCTTCCCGGCCCCGCGGCTACCCGGGGCGCGCGCCCGCTGGAGCCCTCTGCGGACAGGTGCGCAGAGGGCCGCCCCCGGTGGGAAGAGACGGGGAGTGTCCAGGATGGGAGAGGGGGCGACAGTTTCCTTACCTGTCCGTGAAGCTCACGCCAGAATATTCTTTAATTTTAAGAGCACACTTCCGCTTAGCGTACCAGTAGTGTAAGACTTCAAATCCCAACACTTCTGAACACCAGGTGTGGTATGTTCCATTACAGGTGTTGCGTCTGTTACAGGTTTACACATAGACCCCCTAGAACCAGAAGGATAAAGCACGTGGGGAAAAATTAGATTTGTAGAAATCAAAGCCAGGAAGGAATATTCCCAGTGGTGGAAAGTAAATGGTGAAATTTGTGACACGGTCAGAAAAAAAAAATAATAATAATACAGTTCAGAACCTATGGATAGGGTAAATCTTCATTAAATTTTACAGAGAGAATAGTTGATCTAGATAAAGACAGTTTTAGTAAAATGAAAATGGAAACCATTGGAAGTGGTTTAACGTTGCTAAATAGAATTAAATGGACAATGGAGTTTTCTTTCGAAAATGCATTTTAAACAGTGTTGTTACAGCTCTGATATAAGTGTTTGTATTTACAACACAAAGGACATCTTGGGGTCCCAGTGTTTTTTATTTTTAGAATAAATTTAGAAATGAACTGTTCTAAAGGTGAATGATGGTCAGAGAGGAAAAGTGACTTCATGGTAATAAAGTGAGTTAGGGCAGTTGTAACAAGTGTAACTAACGTTAGGCTCCATCCTCAACCAACAGGTCTCTGATTAGTTTTTAGTAGTAGTGTTCTAGGAGAAGGAATTATCTTAGAGACAGAGCAGCTGTAATCCCAAAGGTTGGATTTAGTGAAGCAGGACAGGGTGGAAAGATCATAGCTTTAGAATATTTCAAGTAAGGAAGTCTGGGTTTAAATCCTGGTTTTACCTCTTGAGCCTTGGAGCTTTTCCTACCAGTCCAGTGTAGATTATGCCTACCTTGTGGATGGTTATGAGCATTTAATAATATTATCAATGTAAAAGTTTCTAGCACAGTGCCTGGCATAAAATATTAGTTCCTATCAAGTTCATTTCCCTACCCTTCTCAGTTCCTAACAAATACCATAGTGGACCCTCCTCTCCACTCCATCCCCTCTCCACTTCATCCTCAAGCAATTTGGAGCCTACAGGATCTACAACTTAGGTAACCAGTTCTTAAGTCCTGTTGCTGAAGGTAAATTCAGTAAGGGTGACACAACTCAGTTTTGTTTTCTGTATTTTGTGGTCGAGGAGTGGGTAATAGCCTTATGGTGAACACTTGTGATTGAATATTTGTGTGCCAAATGAAACTTGTTTTGCTTGTTTAAATTCCTATTTTTTGAGGGCTGGTTATCTGTCTGTCTCTGTCTCTCTGGCCTGGTCATATCTCTCTCTTCTCTCTCTTCTCTTTTCTCTTCTCTTCTCTTCTCTTCTCTTCTCTTCTCTTCTCTTCTCTTCTCTTCTCTTCTCTTCTCTTCTCTTCTCTTCTCTTCTCTTCTCTTCTCTTCTCTTCTCTCTCTCTCACTCTCTCTCTCTCTGTCGTTCTCTCTGTCTCCTTCTCAATGCATGTGGTAGGGATTTGGGGGAGGGTTAAGAATAAATGGGGGAGAAAAAATTATGGAAACAAGAGTAGCCTCCAGCATAGGTACAAAGTCTTTTCTGGTAGAATAAGGATAATCTATAAATAACATGAGCAGTTTATAAACAGATCCTGGGAAGAGGATTTAGGAAACGGGGGAGGCAGATTAAAATATATTTTTAAGAAATGTAGTAACACAAATGCTGTGTATTTGATTGCTACTTCACATTCTGCTTTTAAAAATTTCATCTGTATAAACCTTTCTCTTTTTCTCTCCAAGTAGAGATTTATTGGAGAAAAGTGTTCAAAATATAGATCAGAATTATGACAAGGAATTTGGAAACCTACATTTCTTATTTCCAGCAAACAAAAATAAGACAGCCCTCAGGTCATTCATTCATTTACTTGCAGTTTTTATTGAGTACTTCCTAATAGTGCCAGGCAAGGTGGCAGGTTACAAAGTCCACTGGCATGTAGAAGGAGCTGGTAAGACCTGGAAGACAGACCAGTGTCTCTGTGTGTGAGCACTCTGAGGCTGCCTTTGTCCTTGTGGAATCGATAAATGTTTTTTTCTACAATCGTGGCATGGTTTTCCAGATACATATCACTGCTTTCCTGTTGTAAATTTAATACAAGTTATCTTTCAGCAGTTTTATTTTAATGAACCCTGAGACTATAGTACCTTCTATTTTGGAAATGCCATGTAATTATGGAGCTATTCACTATAAAGCATGCCTTTCAATATTTATGCATAAATCATCAGAACTACAGTTAGCAGGTAAGATTATTGTTCTACTAGTGGAGATATTTTAAAATAACATTTAAACAAAAAAGAAGTATGAGTATAATTTAAGTAAGTGGTACAGGAGGACCTTAAGTTACATTTTTATTTTTTCAACCTTTATTTTAAAATAATTATAGTCACAGGAGTTGCAAAGATAATACAGAGAGGTTTCATATTCCTTTCACCTAGTTTCCCCCATTGGTTACATCTTATATAACTATGGTACAATATCAACTCCAGGAAATGGACATTGGTATAAAAGGTATAGAAACAGGAACTGTGCCATTTTATCACGTGTGCATTTCTGTAACCACCACCACAATCAAGATAAAGACTCATTCCATCACCACAAAGCCCTCCCTTTTGCTATTCCTTCATACTCACACTCATTCATCTCCTCCCCAGCATCCTAACCTCTGACAACTGTTTATCAGTGCTCCATCCCTATAATTTTGTCATTTTGAGACTGTTACATAAAAGGATTCATACAGTATGTAACCATTTAATATTAGCTTTTTACAATTGGGATAATGCTTTTGAGATCCATCCAAGTTGTTCTGTGTGTCAATACGGTAGTTTATTCCTCTTTATTGCTGAATCGTGTTCTGTGGGATGAACGTATTGTGGTTTGTTTAACTATTCATAATTTGTAGGACATTTTGGTTGTTTCCAGTTTTTGGTTGCTATAAATAAATCTGAATGAGCAATTGTACACAGATTTTTGTGTGGACATCAGTTTTTATTTCCCTGGGATAAATGCCAGGAGTGTGATTGATAGCTTATACAGTAATTGTATGTTTAATTTAAAAAGAAACTACCAAACTGTTTTCTAGAGTTTGTAGAGTTTCTACATTTTACAATCCTACCAGTAATGCCTAAGAGATCCAGTTTCTCTACCTGCTTGCCAGCATTTGATATTGTCACTGTTTTTTCATTTTAGTTGCTCTGATAGGTGTGTGGTATTATTGTGGCCTTAAATTGCATTTTCCTGATAACTAGTGATGTTGAAAATCTTTTCATGTGCTTATTTGCCATATATCCTTTGGTGAAATGTCTGTACATTTTGCCTATTTTGTAAGGATTGTTTGGTTTTTCTTACTGTTTAGTTTTGAGAGTTCTTTATACATTCTAGATACCAGTCACTTATCAGATATGTGGTTTACAAATATTTTCTCCCAATCTCTATCTTATCTTTTCATCCTCTTCAAATGGGCTTTTCCAGAGAAAAGTGTTCAACTTTGATAAAGCCAATTTACAGAATTATCTTTATGGATTGTGCTTTTGATGTCATGTCTAAGAACTCTTCACTAAGGCATATGTGCTGAAGATTTTTTCCCACATTTTCTTCCAATTACTTTTATAGTTAGTTTTTACATTTAAATCTTTGCTACATTTTGAGTTAATTTTTATGTAAGATGTGACGTTTAGGTAAAGATTCTTTTTTTTTCTCACCTCCGGTGGTGCTCTGGTACCGTTTGTTGAAAAGACTATTCTTCCTTCATTGAATTGCTTTTGCACTTTGTCAGAAATCAGTTGGGTATAGTTGTGTAGGTGTATTTTCGAAATTTCTATGTTGTTCCATTGATCAATGTCTGTTCCTCTGACAATACCACACAATCTTGATTACTATAGCTATGTAATGTCTTGAAATAGGATAGTGTGGTTTTTTTCCACTCTATTCTTTTTCAGAATTGGTTTAGCTGTTTTTGTTTCTTTGCCTTTCCATATAAATTTTAGAATAATATTATCTGTATTTACAAACTATCTTGCTGATATTTTTCTAGGAATTTCACTAAACTTATATATCAATTTGGAGGAGGATTGACATCTTTACTACCTGAATCTCACAATCTGTAAACATGGTATATCTGCTCATTTACTTAGAACTTTGATTTCTTACAGCAGTGTTTTATAGTTTTCAGCATACAAGTCCTATGTGTATTTTATTAGATACACTCCTAAGTATTTCATTTTTAAAAATTATAGGTTTATTGAGATCATTTTTTGGAGTGATTGTAAATGGTACTATATTTTTAGTTTAGTTTAAAATTTTTTTTAATTTTTATTTTTCCAAATGTGTCAGAGTCACTGGCTTGCTTTTAATTAGTTTTATCCTTTAAAATTTTATCCTTTAAAACTAGTGTAGAACTGGGTAGAACTTTTAGTTCTGTGTTGAATAGCTATGGGGAAAGTGGACCTCATTAACTTTTTTTAGAGGGAAAGCATTCAGTTTTTCACCATTAAGTATGATGTTAGCTGTAGGCTTTGTGTAGATGCTATGCTCTTTATCAAGTTGAGGGAGTTCCTTCTATTCCTATTTTACTGAGAGTTTTTATTATGAATGGATGTTGAATTTCATCGAATGCTTTTTCTGCATCAATTGATAGGATTGTGTGAGTTTTCTTTTTTGCCTGTTGTTAATATGATGGGTTATATTGATTGATTTAAGAATATTAAGCCAACATTGCATCCTGAAATAAATCCCATTTGGTCAAGGGGATTCTAATGTCTAATTCTTTGTATTATATTACTGAATTCTACTTGCTAATATTTTCTTAAGGATTTTTGCATATAAGTTCATGAGGAATATGGGTCTATAGTTTTATTTTTATTTATTTATTTTTTTACTGTTCTTTGATTTTAGTATCAGGGTAATTTTAGGGTCATAAAATGAATCGGGAATTATTTCCTTCTCTTTTATTTTTTGTAAGGGAGTGTACAGAATTGATGTGAATTCTTTTTTAAATGTGTAGTATACTTCTTCAGTAAAATCATCGGGGCCTGGAGATTTCCTTTTCAGAAGTTTTTAAGTTAATAAATTTAATTTTCATAATACGAAATTAATTATAGGATTGTTTAAATTACCTATTTCATATTGTGTGAGTTGGGGTAGTTTGTGCTTTCTGAGAAATTGGTCTATTTCCTCTGTATTATCAGATTTATGTGTGTAGGGTTCTTTGTGGTATACCCTGATTATTCTTTTGTTGTCTTCAGTGACTTCCTGTTTTATTCCTCACATTGATAATTTGTATCTTTTTCATTTTTTTCTTTGTCAGTTTTGGCAGAGGCTTGTCAATATTCTTGATCTTTCCAAAGGACCAGGTTTTTGTTTCATTGATTTTCTGTATTTTTTTTAACTCTAATCCTGTGACGGATTATCAATTTTTTGTTTGTTTTCAGTTTCATTGATTTCTACTCTATTTCCTTTCTTCTGCCTGCTTTGAGTGTATTTTGTTCTTCTTTTTCTATTTTCTTGACATGAGTTTAAATTGTTTTGTGACTTTTCTTGTCTGATGTAAGCATTTAGTACTGCTAAATTTCCCTCTCAGTACTGCTTTCTCTGTGTGTCACAGATTTTGATATATTTTCATTTTCATCTAATTCAACGTATTTTTTTATTTCCTTGATACTTCAATTTTGACTTATGGGTTATTTAAAGGTACATGTTTAATTTTCAAGTGTTAAGAGGTTTTCATTACCTTTCTGCTTATTATCATCTCTAGTTTTATTATACTGTGGTCACAGAACACACTCTGAATTTTTAAAAATTTGTTGAGGTTTTTTAATAGCCCAGGATATGGTCTATTTTGGTATATGTTCTATGGGTGCTTGACAGGAATTCTGCTGTTGAACAGAGTATTTTAATAAATGTTGATTATATCCTTTAATTGATACTGTTGTTGAGTTCTCCTATATCTTTGCTGATTCTTTGTTTAGTTGGCCTATCAATTTTTAAGAGAGGGATGTGGAATTCTTCAACTATAACTGAATTTGTCTATTTCTCCTTTTACTTTATGAGTTTTTGTTTCACCAATATGCATCTCTGATGTTT